ACAGAGGTGCCCCAAGGGCCTGGTTGTTTGGTATAAAATTGCGCCTCAACGGCCTGGTTGCCAGTGGCGCTGTCTCGCTTTGCATACATACTGCCGGTAGTTCCTCTCGCAGATACATCGATTCCGGGACCGGTTTCCGACTTCCTTTTTTTTTCGTTGTGTCTTCATGAAGCTATTTTTCGCTATCACCTCAAGTGATACTTCCGTCACGGTTTCGTGCGATACCTTCATGGCGGAACCCCACTAGCTTGTCCGGCCTCGCCTGTCGGCACCGCTAAACGGCTGGCCCCAACTCTTGCGTGTTTTGGGACAGCAAAGCACCCCTTGGACTCACCTTGCATGCTGCGCTGTCCCTAAAATCTAATGCGTAATGCTCAACTCGCGTTCTCGCCCGATACAACTACTCCCCACGTCGGGTGGCAAGAAAACCGAGTGCTCGCTAGTCATCTAGATGTCTGGACACATCGTCATGTGGATCAAACTGGTGGCTTGTAAAACACCGAAACCCGCTCACTCCCCGGTAACTTTAATTTTGGTCTTTACGGTTTCATAAGCATGCCCAAGGGTCACTCCGCATTCGCGAATCGCCATCCTTCGAGCCATATTGGAATGGGAAACGTCCTGAGGCTCGTGCAGACATGGTTGTGCCCCTCGTGCTCCCGAATCAGCGGATAGCACGGCTGTCGATCAAGTCGATCTACACGTGTTGGAACTTGGTTGTTTGGTTGGTTACCCGGCTGGATTTGTTGGACATTGATTGAGTACAGGGCCGAAGGACTCACGGAAGGCATCACAAGAGCAAAGCAATGTTCACAGTATGAACATTTCAATGTTGTGCTGGTTGGTGAGCTGAGAAGAGCAACGCATGTGTGCAGGTTTTATTACACATATTTCTGACGTTTGAATTTCTTGTGTACCCAACAACACGCTCAACTCTCGGGAAACCCCCCACGCGATCCTTCAGCCACGTTCGCTATGCCATGACAGTTTATGATCCTGTTCTGGTTCTAGACGACCCTGACGGTGCGCAATCTTTCGCTCTCTTATGTCGGTCTGCCATTGTTTCATAAAACACATCACGCACATTCATGCCTACATGGCAGCAGCGCTCTTCGTTATTGCCATTGTTTCTGCTGGTCCTGCTGCTAACGCTTCGGTCTCGGGTGCTCACTCTGGCACAAGCGTATCTGCTTCTCGAGGCACGGTGCCCCCATGCCCACACGCCAAGCTAAGTCGGTATCATTAAGTGATCGAAAAGGCTGACGTAGTACATACTTGTATACGCACAACACGAGAAATGTTTAATTCCTCATCTTGTGTCGCCCCTTGCATTGAGACACCAAGGTCCTATTCCAGGGTCGTGCAGCGACACTACTCATGTACATGAAATGACCGTGACGGGCGACTACGCTTGGTTTCATCCGCGAAAGTGTTGTTACGAGCATGTATAAAGAGAGACAATGTTACCCAACGATCAGACCATATTTTACAAGTGCCGCGATCTTCCGTTCCAGCACGTGAAGTACCTTGGACCCTTCTTGCTTGCACGTGCTCTCTCGAGTCTTGGCCATTGTGGACAACTAATCGCTGCCGCAGATTGTTGTAGTATTGAACACTTTTTTCTTGGATATGCCAACACGGACCCTTATCTCGATGTCCATCAAGTGTGTCAAGTCACTCAAAATGGTGCCACAATGAATATCCAGACATCTCTGACTGCCCTGTTTCAAGGAGCAAACTACCGCAAGCTTGTTGCCTCATCGATTCTCCACGATTGCGCCTACCATGTCCGACCGTGACTAGCGTTCTATCCGCTCTGGTGGAATGTTGTGTGGTTGGACTGCTGTGTTTGAGTGTCGAGCAGGAGATCGCAGCTTTTATTGCCGAAAGAGACGGGCACCCGGCACACGCGGACCGCATTTACCTCACCAACGGGGCGTCAGAAGGTACGAACGACTTTTAGCTACTTTTGCTTGTGAAAGCCCCTGCCCATGGTGATTCTACCCCGTCTTGTTCAGTTTAGTGGTAGCAGGACCCGTCACGTAGTTCCACCTCTCCTGCCTTTCACTGCTCTTCGTCGCACTTCGCAGGATGCGCCCAAGAATCCGTGTATGCATATGTGCGACAAAACCATGAATATCATGTGACGGTATCTGCATTGTCCGGGCGAGAGATCGGTGCTTCTGTCAGCCACGGATTGAGTATCTAGGCGCCGGGGGACCCGGGTCCTGGGGTCCATGTTTTTTTTCGATGAAACACTTTCGTTTGACGCTCGCTTTGACTCTGCGTGTGTCTTGCACACCTTCAGCCGGGCCTAGGCAGCAACAACTACTACAACATGACGTACTGCCTCTGGCTGCACATTAAGACAACAAATTTCTTGCGAACTTGTTCGCGTACGGAGGACGTGCCGGGACAAGGTTCCTTACAACCTGCGGTGTTGCGCCCCATATGGTGAAGGAAGCACCGCGAAGATTGGAGCTCGCATCGCCACCATAGGCTTTGTCTCTGTTGGAAAGAGCATATACCTCGAGACTGGACCTGTCGTTGGCCATGTTGAGCGTGCGGGAGGAGCACTGCAAAGAACACTACTGCTGTTTATTCCACCATCCGCGTATCCCCATGGTAGTTTTGTTCCAACATGATTTTTCCTCGGCTGCCCCCCTTGCAACAGGTGTACGGATACTGCTGACGTGCCTTCTGAGATCTGGAGGGGTACAAGACGGACTGTTGACGCCTATCCCGCAGTACCCTCTCTACTCGGCGTCCTTAACGCTGCTGGGAGGGGCATTGGTTCCATACCACCTCAACGAAGGCTCGAGCTGGGGAGTTGAGGTAAAGTCAACTGTTTGCTCTTCATTACTTAACCCAGATACTTTTCGAGTGTGGTGTTGTTGAATTGGGTTCGTTCCCAAAACAACATTGTACGCTTGCTTTTTCTACCTCATTGCACGACTCCGCGTCGGCACTGCTGGCGTCGTTTGATTTGAATTACTCTCTTTGTCACACGCGGGTGGTGGAACTGACGCATGCTGGTGTTCCTGTTTACTGCGCAGTGCTACAGAGCACTATGGCCGACACTGCAAATTCTACCTGGTACTGATTTCAAAACCTTTCAAACTACGTTCCAATCCTTGCATCAAACCAACCATGAAACCAGATGGACAACCTGCGCAGCACCCTCGCGACCGCCCGCGCTGATGGCACCGAGGTCCGAGGTATCGCTATCATCAACCCGGGCAACCCTACCGGAAATATCTTGGCCGAGGAGCAAATAAAGGACATCATCAAGGTGACACCACCGATGCACCATTGTGTATTGGTCAGTACCCAATATGAAGTGCTTACTAGAGTCATGGACACACACGCGAGCGGTTCTTTCGGCTGATAGACCACGACGTGATATTATGTCTTTCTACGGCGATGCAGTTGGCCATCGCTATCACGTACAGAACGACAGCCGCGCGTTGTGAACCTGCAGACGCGAAACACTGCAAGCGATGAACCGCAACAGGTGAGAAAACATAAAACCACAAACATGTGCCAAGAAGAAAACCTAGCATCGGCGAAACTATAACGAAAGTAACCGGCATCGATTCGTCCAGTAGGTGTTTTACACGCATTGCCGTCGGCACGTGTATGATAAGTACGCCCTCTGTTTGTGTGGACGGGAGTCCATGACACTGTCTTCGTCGCATTTGCATTCCGTACGCGCCAAGCTTTTCACATATAGGACAGATCAGATCGCTATAGATCGCCATAGATCATTTCGGTCTCAGATCACCAAAATCTATGGCTGCAGATCGATCTGTACATGTTTATGATTCTTGATCGTTTTGACACAGATAGATCTGTACATTGTCCGCCGCTCATGATCTATAATCCATAGATCATCGGTGATATTTCCGGTTCTTGATCTATAGACGCAGATAGATCCGAACATATCTGCCGCTCTTGATCTATAATCCATAGATCATCGGTGATATTTCCGGTTCTTGATCTATAGACGCAGATAGATCCGAACATATCTGCCGCTCTTGATCTATAATCCATAGATCATCGGTGATATTCCTGACTCTTTATCTGTAGACGACAGATCGTCGGTGATCTTTGCCGCTCTTTCTCTGTGGACCACAGATCATGCGGGTGGTCTTTCGTGCCGTGTGGCACGTGTCATGTCAGCTTCTCGAGAGAGCTCTCCCACACCTTCCACACACCACACAGCTCCCACACACGCGAGAGGCCACGCGCGCCTAGGATGGCAGACATGAGTGGCGGCAGCCGCCTCGGCTGCAGACCAAGAGGTTATCCCTGTGAACAGTGATGGGAGCCCAAGCCCTCCGACCGGTGATGGGAGCCCTAGCCCTCGGACGACTTGCCTTTTTTGATAGTATAAGACTATCTGTCGTGAACTCCTTTTGACTTTTGGACCCTTCGGATCCATATGGTTTTGGCTCTTCCATCTGTAGGCTACAGGACCACAGATTATCTGTGACATTCAAGTGTTGATCCAGAGATTCGGATACATATATATGTGTTGATCCGAACGTGTTGTCGCTCTTGATCTATAATCCACAGATCATCCGTGATATTTCCGACTTTTGATCTAAAACCCATGGATCATCTGTGATATTTCCCATTCCGGATTTGATCTAGTCTAATGACACAGATTGATCCGAACACATCTGCCGCTCTTGATCTATAATCCATAGATCATCTGTGATATGTCCAACTCTTGATCTACAGCCACAGATTGATCCGAACATATCTGCCGCTCTTGATCTATATAATCCATAGATCATCGATGATACCTGCGTGCTCTTGATCTATTATGCGCAGATAATCAATGATACTTCCAACGCTTGATCTATAGACCATAGATCATGTAGATCATGATCTATCCGACGTGTGAAGCTTATGACACGGCGATACCTTGACCCCCTTTTCCGTTGTGTCGGGTTTGTCGGAATGTGCATCTGTCCATCCATTATTCTAACTAGATGGCCGTGGACGAAAAGTTGGTGATTCTGGCCGACGAGGTTTACCAAGCGAACATCTGGAAGAAAGGCGCTTCGTTCTCGTCGTTCAAGAAGGTGCGCAGTGTTGAGATGTGCCATGGATCGTAGTTGTTTAGCTAGACTTTCACCAGCGACAAGATGCCACCACCGGCAAGCGATGGCATCTGGCCTGCTGGCCGCACCCGGCGTCAATGCCTACATCAGAACCAGGCTCGCCAGCTTTCTCTCTCGTGTGTGGCATGGTAAATGTTTCTGTCCTGGTCCTGTGATGATTATCACGGGCACGGGGTGAAACAGGTGGCGTGCGATATGGGCTACACTGGCGAGGATGGCGACGAGCGCTTGCAGCTGGTCTCCTTCCATTCGACGTCAAAGGTGACAACTCAAGTACAGAGTTTTGCTGGTTTCGCTGCTGTGTTTGGTGATGCCGTGTAGAATGGTGTGGCATGATGCATCCGTATGCTTGCTCGTCCTTGTCCAGTGTGCATGCTTCCGTGCGTAGCGTTTGATGTCCTTCGAAACTCACATGCTCCTATATGGGCGACCCCACCGTGATAAGTTGGCTCCGAAATTCAGTAGCCTGAAAATGTCTAGATGCAGTACACCGAATGCTTGAAACGGTAGTTTGCAACCTCAGCTGCTTTGTTACCCTCTGGTAATATTTTAAATAGCGCATGCGTTGATAAGATTGGTCTGATCTACATGTACGCATATCTTGGTCGTCAATAATCGCTTTCGGTGCAGGGTTACTTCGGCGAGTGCGGGTTGCGTGGAGGTTACATGGAGGTGCACGGCATTGGCGCAGAGGTGATACTATATCGGAGACTCTTTGTAGCCACGGTGCAATGGATTTGCTTGTTACCTATGATGTTGGAATGACCTCGAGGAAGTCTTTGTCTCACTCTATGCAATTGTTGTGCCACAGCTGTCAGCATGGCTTCCTTCTTCCATGTATCGTCTCCTAAACCTTGTGCGTTGTACTCTCACTACCATATCTCAGGTACGAGCAGAACTGTACAAGCTGTCTTCGTTGTCCCTGTGCTCCAACACGATCGGACAACTCGCCACCGGCATCATGATCAACCCTCCCAAGCCGGGGGATCCGTCGTTCGAGACTTTCCAAAAGGCAAGCGAGGAGTGAAATAACTGGTTGAAAGCGAAACATCGAGGGGCTCCCACGTAGACAGTTTCAGCTGATCACTTGCAAATGATGCACTTGATGCCTAACCACCGTGCGAGAGGTGTGGTACGGTCCCTGATGGGCAACTAAACATTGCATCATGACACAGATTCTAATTATTTTTTCACAGTAATAACCCTAGATGCCTCGTGAACGTGCGAGGTAGCTCAGCAGAATGACAAGCACTGACATTGCATTCATACATGAAGAGACCATACATGTTCTCCGGTCGGTACCGCTGCTGAGGGTCCCAGGTTGATGAACAAAAGTCAGTACGAAACGCGTTGAACATATCGTGCAAATCACCCCGACACTGGGCTATTTAATCCCAAAGGGAGCTGTCGCAAAGGTTCCAATCGGAAAGGAGTGATGATTGTAAATAGTATCGGGAAGAGTCGACCGATGACGTACATAACCGAGGCAGGCACCGCAGGAGGGGGTCCAGCCTCCCCCTCCTATGTGACCCCGCTTGGGTCGTCTAGCTAGTAGAAGTGGAGGATAGGGGCCAGAGGGGCAGACGACAGAATCCGATGATGGGAGAAAAAATAATAAATAATAAATAATAAATAATAACCGATGGTTTTGTAGGGCAGCGTGATTTTTACGTCAGGCATTCAGACGCACGAAAGCGGACTGACGTTTCTTTTCGCACAAACGTTCAATCGGCTGTGCGAAACTTTCCAACAGATGTATGTATACATCGTAGTACATCGTAGTGTTTTGTATTCTTTCGGCTTAACGCAAACAAGCAGTCCGCATGCATGCAAAACTCACACCCATGGTCCCAACAAAACATTTTAGCCGTAGAGTTTTTTTGTTATAGAAAGCGATCTTGCGGTTATTTATCGTGGGGAATGATGTTACTTCCTACGGACACGCACCCAAGATGCAAAAGATGCCGCTTGACACGTGGATTCCGCTGGTACGTTCCAGGAACGCGACGACATCCTATCTTCCCTGAAGAGGCGCAGCATTATGGTACACAAGGCGCTAAACGATCTTGAGGGAATCACGTGCAACGAGGCGGATGGCGCCTTGTATGCTTTCCCGCGCATCCGCTTGTCGAACAAGGCCAAGCAGGTGGCCGAGGCCAAAGGGGTGGCTGCTGACGAGTACTACTGCCTCAAGGTAAGGACCCGGCTGGACCCGGCTGCTGTCTTGTCAGGCTTTTCAAAAAAAGGTTGTTAGCCGAACAGGTGGTGTGCAACTTCTATGTTTTTTTTTGCCGTTTACAGCAGAAAGACAACCAGCTAAACTATGGTATGTACGGGCGGTGGCGCTGCACTTCCCCCCCCCCCCCCCCCCCCCCCCCCCCCCCCCCCCCCCCC